GGGCGCCACAGGGCCGAGGCGAAGTGGATATGGATAAAAATATGAACATCTAGGGGCCCGGGTGTTTTCCGTATCCACTGCGCCTCTGGCTTCTGGGGAAGGGAGCCCGAAACCCCAAGAGGCAGTGGATGTGGATGCAAGGCTTTGCCCACAGCAGAGGGCGCCAGGCGAAGGGGGGCGGTGGGGGAAGCTGGCCAGCGGCGTGGACCCCTGGAGGTCCACGGATAAACAACAACAACAAAAAAAAACAAAACACACAACAAAAACTTGCGGAACGGCGAAGCCCACAGATTCCGTTCCTTGAGCCAAACGGTTGCAGTAACGACAATCTCGGTTCCAAGCGTGTGAAACCCTGCAGCCCTCCTCGAGGCCGCTGTGCGAGCTAGTGGACTCGTCAGTCATCCGTATCAAATTACACAGTACTATCCGAAACCGCTCGGTTCCGTCTCATGCAACAGAAGCAACCATGGCAACGGAAACTTCTCATTCACGTGTATATATTATCATTATCTCGCGTGCTACGACCTCGGGAGGTTATCAGTCTGCGTCGTATGACATCTGAACAAGCCAGCATCGCTCAACACAGACGGTATCTCGTGCTGGTCGTCCAGGTTGTGTGTAACACAGTTAATGCCAAGCCCCCCAGTCATGCAATCCCAACGGCGTGTATCGACCGTCGGCGTACTGGTTCAGCTTGCTCTTGCTCGTGTAGGTCACTGGCCCCTGCACGGAAACTGACCTTATCCTTTTGATGTGCTGCACCTCTGGCTCTGCCGAATCGTCTCGGCGACGCCTCCTCGACGGTGATCGTTCGTTTGACCCGCAGCTCGCGTCTGTGCGTCCGCCCATCGGGTTCTGGCGAATTGACCCGCAACCCTGTCCGCCCTGCTTCGCCTTCACTGCAAACTTGTAGAAACTGAACACCACTGCTATGATAGCTACAACCAGGTGCGAAAGACAACTCCACCAACTGCAATCGCTTGTCACGTTCACCTGGATGTTGACGCCATCCTCGTAGTAGTACTCTGCCGCCTCTGCTCCCGAGATGACCGACATGACCGCCAACGCCTTCGTCGGCACCTCTGGGCCTTTGAAACTCGTCGCCTTGATCGAAATCAAACCCTGTGTCGTCATGTGTCTTTGGAGCGTGTCCTTATCCATCGGCTTAGTCCCGATGTCCGCAACCTGGCCCTTCGCGTTGACCTTCACCACCTCCATCTCGCCGTCGCGTGCCAAGTCTTGGCGCCATATCCACCTCGTCTGTAGATGTCGTACTCGACCCACTCCATGTCAATGAATCATGCCCTTCGCCGCTGCTGAGTCCGTCTCCAGCCCCAAGGTGATCATGGTCTTCTCGCCGCTCATCTCCGCCATCTCCTGCAACATGTGCTTGATGGTAAGTCCCGGGCCGTGCGTGAACCCATCGCGTAGAACTCCGACCCCCCACTCGATAGCGCCACCGTCGCTTGAGATAGCACCCAACTCTCCAGCAAATGAGCTCCAAGTCGGATTCCCACTGATGATATGCTCTTGCAAGTAGCCCCCTGTCCTGTCCAGTCTGCGCCCACCGACACCTTTACCTTGAAAGTCTCCTCCTGGTACGGGTAGAAGATAACGACGTCGGCAGTCCCCTTCAAGTACCTGACCAGGCGCTTCTGCTTGAGCATGCGCTTCACCCGCGGGTCGTTGCATGAACAACTACGCTCTCGAACTGCTTCTTGAATCTCCCAACGATCTCCAGCCACATATTGAGCAATACCTCCACAATTGCGGTAAACTGTCGAGCACTGTCGCCCCACCGGGTCTTCAGCTTCCCGAACTCCACTCGCAGTGTGCTTTGAACTCAGTGTCTCTGCCAACTTAGCCTGCTTCAGCTCGCACAACACCACTACCTTTAGACTCAGCTTCGGGTCGGGTAGAATGCCGAAGCACTCCTCGCCCCAGAGCACTGTGCTGTTGAGAAACGCACATTCAGCTGCTCCTCCTGGCCCTTCTCGGGGTTGCGGCTTGACCTTGAACCTGTTGGCCACCAGCTCGTCGAACTCGTCCAACTCCTCATCGTAGGCCTCCACCACAAAGTCGTCACCATGTCCCGCACACAGTGAGTCCTTACCAGGATGGAAATACAAGCAGCGCACCGTCTTCAACTTCTCGTAACCGTTCTGCATTGAAGTAGCATTGATGTAGCATTATGCCTCTGGCGTCCCATACATTGCCTTCTACAGCGTCCAGAGCGTTCCTGGTCGTCGTTGTTCTGGTGGTGGCCAGCAATACTGGGACTCCTTCAGCGACGCGTGAAAGAACGCAACTGAAATGTCGTAGAGCCCAAGCTTCTCCTTCCGCTGTTCAGTCGCCCTCGTTAACGCTGCACTCGACACCACCAACTTGACTACCCATAGCGCGGGTGCCCCTGCGAAATTCGAGGGGCTGGTTCCATCGCTGCACCTCCTATGAACACATCAGCTCCCCACGATCCACTCGATATTTTGTAGGTCGCACTTCTCAGTGTCGAACGGCTTCATCCAGTCCTCAAACGATACACACCCAAAGACCTCAAACTCCTCCAAGATATTCATCTCCTTCGTCCTGCCGTTGATGACCAGCTCCTTCAGCAACTCCTCTCCTGTGCACGCGTCCCTGTAGACTCCATCACCCACCACCATGTCGTTGTTCGCCCTCGGCTCCGTCTCCTCGCAGACGTGGCGGTCCTCCTCCTTCGGGATCGACATGGCGATGCCGATCTCCATCCCCTCGTCCCGTCTCGGCGTAGCATGTGCTACGTCTCCTCCTGCAACGATCGCGTTGCCTGTCATGCCCACGTCCTGCTCGATGGTAAACTCCCGTCCGAAGTGGTGACCAATCGGTGCACCTGGAGCTCGCTGATCTTCTCCCTCCAATCGTGGCTCTCGAACTCTGGCCTCCTCTGGCGGCGCTTGTGATGATGGAACTCCCGCTGGCGCTGCTTGCGCCTCAGGTTGCGCTGGTTGATCTGCTGCAGCCATCTCGATCCTCGGCTCGGCCTCATCGAAGATCTTGGCAAACCTCGTCCTGCACCTCGCGTTGTGCATCGCCGAGTTCCCCTCGCAAGCTGCGCATCCGCCCGCAGGCCCGCGCTCCTCGATCAGCACTTTCTTATTCGAACCACCTCGTTCTGATCCTTCACCTCCAAGCCTCTGGGATTCCACGGAACTCCAATGAACGCGTTGTAGACTTCCTGTTTATACTTGTCCTCCTTGGCCTTCGGCCTCATCGTCCTGGCGTGCTCGATACCTCGCGCTGCCCCAACGATGATCTCGTCGCTCCCGTCGCGCCTGCTCAAGAAGACACCCTCACCCCACCCCGGCTCCTGCTTGGAATAGTCCTTCGCCTGGATCTTGCAATCAATCGCCCCGCCAAGCTTACCACGCCCTGACTTGAACTTCGCGCGCCCCAGTCGTCCCCAAGCTGCCCTGCCATCCGTCGCAATAGCCAACCTGGTGAGCAAGTACCCCGCGTGCCTGACCAGCCACGGCATGATCAAGCTCTCGGGCCCAATCTTCACCTCCAGCTTCGCCTCCAGCTCGCCGTGCAACGCGCGCAGTAGTGACTCCACTCTCTCCACTGCGTTCTCGATCGCCCCGTTGCTATGGTGAAAACCTTCCGGCGCCTTCTCCACCTGCTTGCCGCGCTTCCCCCTATTCTTTACCGCCGGGATCACCGCCTGTAGTGATGGCTCGTGGTCGCCCTTCAGGATGATGTCAGCAGCTCACCAGACGTCCAAGTACAACTCCACCGCTGAGTTGACGTACTCGATGGGCCCCTTATGGACCACCATGATAGAAGCCACCGCGTCCTCAGGCTTCTGAACCACCACTTGGATGTTGATCATCTCCGCCTCCATCTCGGTGTTCACGAAGCAGTAGTCCATGCTGATGACCGGTATCGTCGGCGCCTCCTCGGGCAGGCCTTCTTGCGACCATCCTCCTTGCCTCGGCCCCAAAGACACCACTTGCACCAGTCCCGATACGGCATGTGCGTCCTCTCGTGGATGGCCGTTTCCTCCGCAGTGGGCTTGTAGCACTCCTTCTTGACCTCGGGCCCCTGCGCCTCGTCGCTGTCCTACGGACCAGGTGGATCTGGTACTGGATCTACATCTCCTTCCAGTGGACAAAGCGCGCTGGCGCCCACGTCGAAACTGAAAAAGCCACGCCTCTTCGCGATCTTGAGCGGCTTGTTCGTCCTGTTGCATCTGTTCTCGTACTCGATCATCTCCCTGATCTTCTTGCTCACCGTCGGGCTAACCACCGCGCCTCCGTACTCATCGAACCACACGCCCTGCGCTCCCCTCGTCAGGTCTCTGACCGCTGTGATCGTCTTGCGCACATCGCGCACGTCGCATTGACCTCGAACCGGTTGCTTGGTCCCAGCTACCTCCACATGTACCGTCTTGCAGCCGTCCGCGTATATCTTGGCACGATCTGCTTGGCGCAGTGGCGACGCGTCCGCTTCCTGTCGCGGCATTCTTGGTGCGAAACCAGGTGGGCATACACTTCTCGCCACACGCGAATCGACTATTACCTCGATAATCCCGTCGTTCTCGTTCTCAAACTCCCCTATCGGAATCAGGTAGCTCCCGTCATCCTTGTTGATATCGTAGTTGAGCTCCCTCTTCGCGTCTACATCCACCGAGTAGTCTGCAACCCGGATGTGGTCTAGCTCCTCCGTGTGATCCGTGATCTCCTGGTCGTCTAGGTCCTCGTTCTCGCCCTCCGTCATCAAGAAGACGTAGCCCTCCTCAGCGTCGTGGTCGCACCCAAGTACTTCATATCCTGCTCCTCCGGCTTGTCGGGTGGACCTTTGCCCTTGCCCTTGCCCTTGCTGGTTGCCCGAAGCTCTTCCTGAGTGTTCTTGCCGCCTTTCATGTCCTGGGTAGCCTTCCTGCACTCCATCAACTTGTGGCCCTTTTTCCCGTAATACGTGCATGGCTGGCTCGTCGTGGTATTGTCGTACCCCTTGCCTTTTGCCATCCATGCCTTTGCCGTACTTCCCTTTTCCGCCCTTGCCGTGTTTCCCGAACGCGAGCGCATCCAAGTCCATTGGTGCTGGTCCACTGAGCGCCATCGCCGCCTGCGTCGACCTCAAGTAGTTCAGAACCGCAGCTCGCACCGAGGCGTACGTTGCAAACCTCGTCGCGTTCAACGCGAGATGTTCTCGAAGCCTGGTCGGAACCAGACGCGTACTCAACACTGCCTTCTTGATCGACCCCATGACCTTTTCACCCGTTTGCTCCTCATAGCGCTGCACCAGCGTCTCCCAAGACACCATGCCCTTGATCGGGTCGTTGTCCTGCACGTGCGGATACAGAATCGAGTCCAGCATCCCTGAGAATCTAGACGGCACCTTCGGTTCGAACTCCACGCATAGTAGACGCCAAGCTTCCAGTCCCTCTCCCGATGGAACGCTCTTCACGATGCCCTGCGCCTTGCTTTTGCACGTGAGTGCCAGGATGTAGTACAGGTTCGTGTTCACGCGCCGAGCCTCCTCATCTAGATACTCATGAGAGTAGCTATCTGCGTCGACCTTGGCCGCGTCCCTCATCAGCTCATCCATGCGCGGGTCCACCGCCATGCAGTATGCCGCCAGAACAAAGCTCCAGTTCTCCCACGTAACTCCATCCTTGTATTTAGCGTTCTCGCCGAGCTCTCCTGAGAATTTGTCGGGCTGCCCGGGCAGCTCCGTGTCCACCAACGATTCTGCACGGGGAACTGGACCTGCTCTGAGGCCTTCTTGACCTGCTGCGCCCCCTGCTGCTGCTGCGCGTAGGCTAGCCTCTCTAAGCTGCTGCTCGACCCTCGCTATCTGATCTCTCCGTTGGCCCACGACCCCTTCCATAGCCACAATCCTATTCAACACCTCCTCCGCTGAGGCCATCGCGGCGCGAGACACGGGGAGCCTGGCCGTGATCACAACCAGGCACCGCTACCATACGGAATGGTGAAGCCCAAAGATTCCTTTTCTTGAGCCAAACGGTTTCAGTAACATCAATCTCGGTTCCAAACATGTGGAACCCTGGAAATATATTTACATACACATATATATACATATATAAAAGAAAGAGAGAGAGAGAGAGAGAGAGAGAGAGAGAGAAAACAACAACAAAAAAAACAAAAAAACAAAAAAAAAAAAAAAAAAAAAAAAAAAAAAAAAAAAAAAAAAAAAAAAAAAAAAAAAAAAAAAAAAACGAGCACGGTGACCAAGATTGAACGCGGAACGTCGGTGTCGATCTTGGTCACCGTCAATCTTGGTCAGCGTCACTTCGTGGACCATCCTCGCGGATCGACGACAACTGGCATTGACCACGACCAAGACTGGCGCCGACGAGATCCCGCGACATCCTGGTCAAGGTCCCCGTCTTTCCTCCCTCGAGCCTAGTGACCGAGTCCCCCGGGCCGGCTCCTCGCCCCGAGTCGTCTTGTTGACGGCTCTGAAGGCCCGGCAAGCAAAGAGCCCCAAGAGGCCATAAAAACTGTCAGAAGCCTCCCGCCGTGAGCTCTTCGCCAAGCGGGACGGTCCGGCCCCGACTCTGAAGCGCCGCGCGTGACCGGCGAGAACCGTGCCGCTCTCGAGAGGTGCCGAAGCAGATGGGCCCCCCAAGAGGGTAAGCACGGTGTGCCGGAAAGGAAGAGGAGGAGGAGGAGGAGGAGGAGGAGGAGGAGGAGGAGGAGAGGAGAAGGAGGAGGAGGAGGAGGAGGAGGAGGAGGGGGAAGAGGAGGAGGGGGAGGAACGGGAGGAGGAGGAGGAGGAGGAGGAGGAGGAGGAGGAGAAGGGTGAGGAGGAGGGAAGGAGGGAGGGAGGGAGGGGCCAGGAAGAGAGGGGGGTCGTCGCACAATGGCCCGAAGCACGCGCGCGGACCCGAGGGGGCAGGGGGCGTGGAATGGTGAAGAGGGGGCCCAGAGATGTGGGAGAACTCACGGCCCAAGCCGTGGACATCCTCAAACCCCCAGTCCTCCCCCCCTCGACGCCTGGTGGCGTTCGGGTCGGGTCTGTGGTGGTCGTCTGTCGTCGAAGCGCAGCTGCAGGAAAGAATCCCGAGGTGAGAAGACCCCGAAGAACCCACCGAAACCTCTTCCAAGAGCAACGAACACGTCCTCACGCCCCTACTCGACTGTCCACCACCAAGGACCACAGCAGCTCCCCCAGCTGTGACTGGTCGAGCCTCCTGTGGCACGGAGGGGGGGGGCCCTCTGAGGCCCGAGCACGCCCAGCGTGACGCAGATGGCCCCGATGCCTGCGGGCCCCCGCGAGAGCCGCACGCCCGCATCTGTCTGACAAGCCTCCCTGCACAAACTCGCGCTCCCCGTCCTTCTCCCCCTCCACCCGAACGGCCGCCAAAGGCCAGTGCCTGGCCCGCAAACTAGACCATCGCGCGTCGTGGCACAAAGCACGAGGGAAAGTGTTCGAGTATTCTCGGCCTCCGAGGACCCTCGCACGGCCCTGGGACCGTGAAGAAACGACTCGGGGAAGAAGCCGGTCCAAGGGAAGTGGTCTGGTCCTCCAGGGGGGCACGGGTTCTTTGATCAAGAGCTTAAAAGCAAAAGATGACGTCGGAGGTCTGGGCCCCTCGATCACAGATCTAGAGTCATTATGGCGGTGAACTACACTGGAGTCCCCGTCATCTTCGTTGTTATCACATATACATAACCATATCGATATCCACTATCCATATCCACAATACGTGTACAACGAAACCGCGTCGTCTGCCCGTACTTCCCAGTGCGACGCCAAGCGAGCAGAACGACGACGACGACGACGACGACGACGACGACGACGACGACGACGACTAGGAGAGAAAGAGGGTGAGGGGGAGGGGGAGGATGATGAGCAGGGTGAGGAGGAGAAGGAGGGAAGGAGGGGACGAAAAGTAGGACGACGACAACAGCGACGGCGAGAAGGAGTCGGGGGGGATGGGAGGCGAACGGAGTGCGCAGAAGACCACTGCTTCGAGTCGTGCCTCGCGGGGTGGCACCCTGGGCCACGAGGCAGGGAGAGAGGAAGAGGGGCAGAGAGGAGAGGCGAGGAAGGACTTGCGGGAGGGAAAGAGGAGAGCGCGCTGCCACAGACTGCGCGAGACCACCGCCGTGCGTGACGAAGCTGCACGGGAGAGAAGCTGCCCCGAGCAGAGAGTGGCGCGAAGCCTGCCGAAAGCTGCACCTGCGCCACAGGGGGAGAGAGGCGGAGGCGCGACGAGAGAGCTGTCCACGGCAAGTCGTGGTGACGGTCGCAGCCGCGGACCGCACATAGAGAGGGGGGAAGAGAGGATGAGGAGGAAGGAGCAAGGAGGACCAGGAGCACTATTCCTGGTCCTCCTCCTGCCTCCTCGGAGAAACATTTGCCTGATCCTCCTCCTCCCCCTCGGCGCTTCCTCCCTCCTCGTCCTCCTCACCCTGGGAGAAGGGGGAGAAGAAGAAGGAGGACGCAGGAGAAGGATCCGTCTGCCTGGAAAGGCCTGGAGTTCCGCACAGTCAGGACACGGAGGTACCAGGCCCCCAGGATAGCCTGGGCGGCCCCCGCACCCCCCACTCGGGAAAGGGGGGCGTCCTAGATGGGGGGGTCGCAATCATAGCCCGACGCCTGGGGCCGAGGGGCGTCGTGAAATAAGAAGAGGGGCCATGAAATCCAGGTAGACATCATGGCCAAGGCCATGACATCCAGACACCCAAGGTCAGCACCCCCCTCTGGGCCGCCGACGACCCCACCCTGGGAAGCCGAGTGGGAGGCGGCGCGAGGGCTGGGATGCCGCTCTGGACTACCGAGGGGCCCATTGAGACCAGCTGGCAGTACCTCCGGGTGCTGTCTGTGCAAAACCCCAGGCCTTCTCCAAATCTGGCAAACCTCCCTGTCAATTGTCTTTCAGGAAGCACACCTCCTCGGAGGTCTTCGTGAGAACGACAAAGGCCTGTTGGTCAGGTCCGATTGAGGTGCTGTTCTGCCAGCGCAATCTGGGTGGAGACCGGGAGTGTGCCAAACTAGGCGGGATTGAACAAAAATAATAAAGAATATGCCGGGTTTGGCAGTTTTCAACCACGGCTTGACCAACGCCGGTACTGAATTTCATCTCCCAGGAGTTGCATCCTAATCTCCCTGTCGATTATCCCTGCCCCTGGCTGCCGCACAAGCCAATACCAATCTTCTTGTTGTCGTCTAACATAGTTCCAGTCCGATGGCTGGCCGAAACAACAGCGTCCCTCTGAGCCGGAGCTGCTGCAAGAGGACCAAGGCAGGCACACAAGAGTCCTCAAAGAAGAATGCAGAAGCTCGAAACCGAGCCTCTGTACTGAAGCAGCGTGTGCGGACTCGATGAAGCAAGAAATTGTCACCCACCACCAGCCAAACTCTGCCGACGGCACCCTGTCCCATTTATCCAGCAGGTAGATCCGTCGATCTTGGAGGAGTGCGGATAAAACTGGTCAACTGGTTCCACTGGACCGTCATCAGCTTCGACGCACATATCACCCGCAACTGGGTTTTCCACTCTCCTGCCTCTCTGCATTACGTCATCTGGCACGGTGGCGGACAAGTGCGGCAGCGAATCTGGAAATTCGCACGCGCACTCGTGCAGCATGACAACCTCACATGTGCACCACAGAGGGTGCTGAACCAACATTATATGCCCACGCAGTGCTGCGTGTGGCCTCGAAACGCACGGCCGCTTTCGCAATACGACTGACATCTGACATCACGGTGCAGTCCACCACGAGTCACGCATCAACAGACAAGGCGAACGAACGTGGTACGCCGCCATCAAGCACACCCGCAAAAGGCACTCGAACACAACAAAGGTCGCTCTGCTCGTCCGCACACACTGTCAACAAGATCACTGCGCGACATTGCTACGCTTCTTGAGCTGGCTCTATTTTGGAGGCTGGCGGCAACGGGCACAGACTTGGTATGCTCCGTTGGACCCTGCACTCTTGCACCGTGCACCGTCTACATCGCCTTGAGCGAATGGACGCTAGAGTTGCGGAGGCTGTCGAGAACCTAGCTCGGCAGACCTTTGGAAGCGAATTCGGGCGCGGAGTGAGTGAAGCAAGCCATTCGGGTACAGCAAGTCATGGGAGTCACAGCGTCAGCACCCAGGCATCACATGATACCGACGACTCCTCAATTGCCTCTCTAGCCAATACTCCTTCCTTGTCTCCTACAGGAAGCCTGGCGGCTGAGCGCTTGGATGTCATCGCTGGCTCCAGACAATAACCGCGCCCAGTTCCACCCTGGGGGATCCTTCACAGCCTCGCTTTTCAGTGCCGTGGCCAGCCGTGGGCAAGCATGGAGCCGACGCCTTGCTCCTCGCACCTGCTCTTTTATTGCCGCTGCCCTGCTCGCCCAGCCTCCCTAGACCTGCTATATCGTCTCTGCCTCCCCCCTTCTCATGCCCCCAGCAATACGACCTCATCTCGCCTCCGCCCTCGTAATAGGCAGGCGTCACCCTTTTACTTACAGCATATAGCTGACCCTTAAAATTTCGAGTGATGAATCCCCGCCCCGTCACGACAGGTGTATCCAGGTACAGGGCAGACAAGCTAGATCATGCGAAGTACATACTGGAAAGCGCGTCCGTTGTATGATAGCTTGCCCACTGGTTAAAGGCGATTGCAAAGCACAGCCAATATTTGCATGCGCAGACCTTCTTTGCCTCTCCGACTGACAAGCACCAAGCCAAGCCTAGCCTAAACAAGAAGCCACCGCGGGAAAAGCGAAGCAACACCAAGCTAAGCTAATCATGACTGGGAAAGTGCACGTCGAGATCCAGGCTGGGGCTCAAGCCTGACTGGAAGCGGAAAGCTGCTCTCAAGCTGAAGTGATGTGTAGTTCAATTGATGCAGCTAGAGTGCCAACTCACTTTCAGGCGTAGGGAGCTGGTCGACTTGGAAAGAACGTATATGACAGGTTTCGCTCGAACCAATGTGCCGAATAGCAGGGGAAGTAGAAATACGAAGATAAAAAATAAGGTCCCACCACGGGACCTAACTTATCAAGCCGAATCCACCGCGTTCAGTTCGCTCTGCTGCTCGCCCTTTCCGACGACGCACTCCGCCAAGCCGGCACCTCGGCAGAACTGCATCAGACATCTGTCGCAGAACTTCCCCCCCTCACGCTGTCACAACCACGCTCTCCTCACTGCTGCGCCGAAGGGAGGGCTCGTATCGCGTGCACCGCTGGGCTGCGCAACGGGGAGGGGGCCATCGCCTCGCAGCGCACATCACCGAGCCAGAGCAGAGCCAGGAGGCGGCCCGCCTGCGCCCTCGAGCAGGCCGGCATCCTGGAAGATCTTGCGCAGGTTGGTCTCCACCTCGCTGGCCGGGGAGAGACAGGTGGGCACTTCTGCAGCCTCGCAGACCGTGGGGCACGCCAGCGGGTGGACAGAGGTTCGCAATCTGGCGAGCGCACCAGGGGTACACCCTGCGAAATGCTTAAGAAATCATGGGTTAAGAAATTCATGGTCTCAGAAATTGAATAAAACCCAGAACTTCTATCAACAAATCTTGGGATTTACATTGAAAAATTAAGAATAATCGAGACTTTGGACGAAAACTTAGGTTTTCTTAAACATCGCCTAAGGTGTACTCAGGAAAGGCGCCGCTGCAATGTCCTGGGCGAGGCCACGTCAATGAGTAGGCATCTCTGGCGGTGTCTGGCGAGTCGCACGAGGCGCTGGCACGGACCTCGCTCGACGGACGAGCCCGCCGAGGTGAGTGCCAAGACAAGGGGTCCTCCAACCGAGGGTGCTGGCGGAGCGCGTGCTCCAAACGACGCACGTCTTCTGGGGCGTTGCCTTCTAGGGTGTTGCGAGACATCCAGCCTGGCTTCCATACGATCCGCTCACCCGCAGTCTCGCCAACCGGACGGTCCCTAAAGTTGCCGGCGGGACTCCGACCAGAGTTCGACGCGAGCCGCCTGCAACGAATGCGGCATTTCTGCTCCAGATGTTATCCGCGTTCACCCGAGCCGCCTGGCAGACGTGTGCCTCCCCGGCTTGACGTGGCCGCACGGCACTTCTGCCTCGCAAAAGCCCGCGCGGGCCCCGTCCGGCGAATCAGGTCGACGACAAGCGGGGGGGGGCCCTCTCTGGCGACGACGAATCGACATCCGCAACGAGGGCACGCACGGGCCCGCGGCGGCGAAGCGTGTGCTGGCCGCGCGGCAGCTACACAAGCGTAGGTGAGCGACTCGCTGCCGCTTCTACGAATCATGCCGCGCCTCGTTTTCTGGCAATGCACAGGGAGCCCGCCAGTGGTGCCTGGGGGGGGGGGTCACGCCGTCATAGCGCACTTCCAGACGCCGTGCATCCCGACCACGTACGCTGAGCAGACGCCCAGCTGGCTATACTTCAAGGCCCCGTGTAGCCCGGAGGGTCTGGAGCCAGTGAGCCCGGATCCCGCAGGGATCGAACGCACATAGATAGCAAATCCCCTCTTCACGAGCACCCGCCTGGCCCCGCCTACAGCAGGCTCGCAAGCCGATGACCAGGGCGTTGGTCTCTCACGCCGCGTGGATCGCTCCATCTTAAGCGGTCACGGCTTTCTGATAGCGCACATCGCTCGCAATCAGCCGATTCTGTGCAACTGGCGGCGTTCGATCTTGCAGGCCTGCGCTGGGGTCGCCGCCGCGTCGACACGAGACGAACCTGCCAGTGGTCTTAGCAGCGGTGCAGGCATGGGCAAGGAAGGCTGGTAGGGCTGGCCTGCTTGCCGCGGTCGGGGGGCAGCTCGTCGAGCGCGCCCGCCTGGGGCAGGAGGAAGCCAGAGCTGGAGGAAGGAATGGACATGCGTCCTCCTCCTCCTCCTCCTCCTCCTCCTCCTCCTCCTCCTCCTCCTCTTCCTCCTCCTCCTCGAGGAAGCCAGAGCTGGAAGAGGGAACGGACGTGCGTGCGGGCTGGCCCCGGGCACCGAGCCTCATTGGACGGATCGCCGAGAAGGGGCACACCCTCCTGAGTGGAAGCCCCGCACCACATACTCCGCAGGCAGCGCGTGGTGGGCCAGAACTGGTGGCGCGACACGCTGAGCAAACGTTGCTGACCGTACACCCTCTTGATTGAAAGGGTTGGTCCCCATACTTTGGTCCACTGGGCTCGAGTGTCCGTGGACGGCTCATCCTCCACCGGTCCCCCGACCACGACCCGAACGTTTCGCGGAATGGTCCCGGGGAGTACAAAGGCAGCCTCCGTCGGACAGCGGTCGTTTGCCTCATCGCCTTCTTCTACAACCAACGTGTCGCAGCGGCAACCCTGGCGACACGCTATGCACTGCGAGCGGATAGCGTGTCGCTCCGCTCCGCAGGGCGGGAGGCTGAGAAAGGCTCAAGACATTGACACTCGGGGACAAGAGAGAGGCGCGAAACGCGAAGCACACGTTCCTGAACGTATCCCCCAGAGACACATGACTCGACGCGAAGATCTCCACGCGTGCATCTCATGCTCTGGCACTTTGCTCCGAGGAGTGCCTGAAGGCGAGCGCGTCTAAGCCTGAGCGCTACTGAACGGCAATTTGACCGAGTGTGACCGCTGTTGCCTGCTACTCTCTGCCGCCACCTGCTGATCTGATCTGCTCTGCGCCGCTCTCTGCGACATCCTGCCCAGGCTCTCTGAACTGCTCTCTGCAACTCTCCTCTTCCATAAACTTACACATCATTATCGTTCTTTCTCATCCTCCTCCTCATCTTCCTCCTCCTCCTTCTCATCATCATCATCATCATCATCATCATCATCATCATCATCATCATCATCATCATCATCAGCATCATCATCATCATCATCATCATCATCATCATCATCATCATCATCATCATCATCATCATCATCATCATCATCATCATCATCATCATCACCCTCTTGCTCCGTCAAATCGACGCCCCCTTCAGAAGCCCGAGCACCGTGCGCGCTACATCGCGATGATACAGAAAAAACCTGGGAAAAAAACGTTTTGAGTCAGCGGGCGCAAGCGAATCGAAGAGGGTGCAGGCGCTGGCTGGGCTACGAGTGGGTCACGCCTGGAACTAGTGGAGGCACAACAGAGGGGGACGCTGGAAAGGCGAAGGGGCCGGATCCGCGCAAAGCATGCAGTCCGTCCTGGTTGTGCCGAGGACATGCAAGGCGCCCCTGATTAGAAACACGCCTACTCCCCAAAAAACACCACTCTCCCTGAGCCCCGAAGGGTCCTGACAATTCAGGGGCGAACGGACCCGTGGAACACCCCTGGTCAACCTACCCGCGGGGTGCCCACATGCCACGCCTGTTGCATCGCCGGGATCATGCAAACACGTCTACCCCCCACACACTCTGCCTGACAGTCCCAACACTTTGGCCGACCTCCACCACTTGTGGTGCACAAATGATATAGTTCCTACTTCGACAAAGTCGTTGGGCTCTGAATCTGCGCATGAGTGATCTGGGTGCTAGCGAGTCTAACTATGAGTGAGTCTGTGGGTGAGTGGGTCTGAGTATGAGTGAGCCTGAGTAAGCGCGTCTGAGTTTGCATTAGTCTGGGTGTGACTGAGGGAGGCAAGACGCAGGAGTGAGCGAGCGAGTGAGCGAACGAGTGAGTGGAAACGCGGCGGCGTCAGATTCAAAACAAGAACTCCATACTCAGGATTTGGGGAATCAGACGATTACAATAACAGCGCGGCGTGCTCAGTATCGCGGGTGCAAGATGCACTTCAACCCAGCCAGCAGCATGCATGTCCGATGTTCCCTCGAATCGGAGGGCGCCAACTATGCACCTACAACGAACCGTGTCCCAGGACTGGTATGGCCAGGATCGGTGCAGTGTAAAAATGGCGTCCTCCGAACAAACAGAAGGTGCCCCATGCTCTGCACCGGCTAAACCTCTCGCTCGCCTGGCCGGCACGCCGGCCGACCGCTACACCCCGTCGACCCGCCATTCTTTCGCCCGCTCATCAATCGGTGCAGACAGACCGATCGACGTGTCGACCCGATGCACGGGACACCCAACGGACAGTCCGACCGAGCCCCCGTCTAAGCGATTGACTGACTATGCGACCGACCAGTCACGTGAGGCACGCGTGCACTTCACGAGAGAGGAAGGGGAGAAGGAAGGAGGCAGCAGAGAGGAGAGAGAGAGAGAGAAGGAGCGGACTCCTGGCAAAGCGGCGCACATGTCGCGCTCCGCGTCCGCACCCGCGCGCGCGCCTCGCTCGCGCAGACGCGCGGGTGCGTTGTGGCACGCTCGCGGCCGCCCGGCCAATGCCAAAAAGAAAGAGCGCAGCCCACAGAGCGCACGAGCGGGCAGCACTCTGCGCGGCCACTAGCCCCATCCTTGGGGCCCCCCTGGACGCGGCGCCAGGCCGCCCCTGCTGGGCCCCCCGCCGCAGCTGCGCGATGCAGCCGCTGAAGGCACCCCGCCGGCCGCGCCTGCGAGGCGCGGGCGAGCATCGCAGGAGCGATGCAAGGAAGAAAGAGGGCAGCCGCCAGGCCGCCATGGCTGGCCCCCCCCCCCCGCAGCTGCGCGACGCAGCAGCTGGAGTCACCCCGCTGGCCGCGCCTGCGAGGCGCGGGCGGGCATCGCAGAAGCGACGTAAGGAAAAGAAAAGAGGGCAGCCTCGGACTCAGACCGACGCGTCGCACGGGCCCTCGCCCTGCCGGCCGCCCTCGTCGTCTCGGTCAGCACGGCGGCCCTTGCTGTCCTCGCTGCCCTTGCCGCCCCGGTCGGCCCGACTGTCCTTGCCGCCCTTGCCGCCCTGGCCGCCCTTGGAGCGCATGCCCTTGTCCTCGGCGCCATTCGAGCCCTAATTGCCCATGCCCTTGGAGAAGCCCTTGCCCTCAGCCTCCCCGATGGCCCCCTTGCCCTCGGGCTCGGCCCTCTCCCGCTCAGCGCGCTGGCGGCGATTCTCCTGCTCGGCCCCCCCCCCCCCCCTGGGGGGCTCGCGGGCGGCCGCCCGGCCTCCTCGCCTTGCCCGGGGGGGCGGGCGCCCTGGCGCGCGCGGGGCCTCCGCCGCCGCGGCGCGGGCTGGGGCTGCGCAGCGGGCGCGGGACGCCGACCGCACTCGCCCTGCCGCTCTGGCTCTGCCCACGGCGCCTCGCGCACGGCTGGGCACCACGCTCTGGCTCTGCCCACGCTCTGGCTGGGCTGGCTCCCCGCGCACGGCCCTGGGCGCCCCCTTCAGGGCGACGTTGGGAACGCGAGCGGTGGCCGACCCTGGGGGCATCTGCTTGGGCGACAGCCGCGGCCGCATGGGGCGGTGGTCCTGCGCGGCCAGCCCTGCGTCCCGTGGTGGGCTGCGCGGGGGGCGGGGGCCCCCGGCTGGGCCCGCCTCGCCGCCGCCTCCACGCGAAGCCGCGGCAGCGTCTGGCCCGGAGGCCGGAGCCTGTCTGCACGGGGGACAGGCGCTCCCTGTCGGGCGCGCCTCACCGCCCCCTTCGTGGAGCGGGGCGGGGGCCCCCGGCTGGGCGCGCCTCGCCACCCCCTCCACGCGCAGCCGCCGTCACGCTGGCTCCCTTGCCTCGCGCGCCGCTCGGCTACTGCTCGGGCCGCCGCGCGCACGAGCGCGTCGACCGCATCCACCTCCAGTGGCCCCGCCTCCTCCTCAGCCGGCGGTGGGCGGCGCATGTCGTCGCTCAAGTACGCGAAGGTAGCGACCGCCGTGGGGTCGGCGAGCCTGGCGACGGCCAGGAAGCCAGGGCCACCGTCGATGATCCCCCGAATGCTCCGCAACGATGCGGTGCGGAGGTGGCCGAAGGCAAGCGCGAGCTTCGCGGCCTGCCGCTGGGCCTTGACGTTCGGCCCCGCGCCGACCCCCTACATCGAGCGCACGCCGTCCACTATGATCTGGAGCCCAACGTCTGGGCCCGCCCTGGCTGCGACGCACTCCGCGGCCACCGCGGGGGCCGCGGCATGCGTGATTGCTCACCTCGACCATGTGGCTCGGGTCCAGCCCCTCGCAGAGGCTGTAGATGATCGCGTGGCCCGCCGACCTCAGCTCCGCCGCGATGTCGTTCCCCGCGACGACGACCCCCCCTCCGCGACGCCCAGGATGCTCGTGTCCAGGCCAGCAGCCCTTGCTGGATCGGGAACGATCCTTCTGGCGAGGAACGCCATCGCTGGCCGCAGCCTCGCGAGGCCCGACCCTCCGTCCGACTCGAGTGCGCTGGCTGCCGCCTCGCGACACTCGTGCGCCACAGGCCCAGGGCGGGCTGCTGCGTCGGCGCCTGCAGCGCGTGCCGCGCAGGCCGCCAGGGCGCACGGCGCGGGCCGCCACCCGCCGGGCGGGCGCGCGCGGACCGCGGGCGCACGCCGCGCGGGCCAGCCAAGCTCGGCCCGCTCGAGCCCGGCAAACGACTGCGGACCGGCGCTGTCGAGCGTCGGGGGGGGCGCGCGAGCGGGTCGGGCAGAGGTGGCGGGGCGCCCAAGGGCGAGAGGTCGACATAGGCACCACCACAGCATGGCGACCCCCCGAGACCCTGAACCCGCGGCCCGCAATTTGCTGTGCAACCTTACTCCGACTGTGGCTCATACGGCTCGGTGCCCCGTTCCCGCTCGGCGCCCGCGACAGGGGTGCCCACTTGGGTTAAAGGGCGTGCCCAGGGGCGCCGACCGGGATCCCGCGCTTGCCGCGCGGGCGAGCGCGGCGCGCGGGCGACCTCCGCACCGGGGGCGGCCCCATTCGCTGGAGGCGTCGGGCGCCAACAGGGCGCGGCCCTCGACCATGCCTAGCGCGAAGCGCGCTCGGCGGCGGTGGTCCTCCCAGAGGCGCCCACGGAAGGCGTCAGTA